TTATTAATAAATTCCTTTTCTAACAGGTTACCAGAGTCTGTACCCTTTCTGAATAATTTTGTGTGTGTGGTTTTGAGTTTTCTGGTGAAACATTTTTGTCTCTTAGGCTTTGCACAAATCACCCGGAAGTCATATTTTATGAAATGTCATGTAGTTTTGAGAGGCCTACTTGAGGTTAAATTTACCAATGTATATCATCCTATGAGTCAAAGAAAAGCACCATGGTTTTCCCAGTCTCTCAGGGCAATGCATGTTTGTTTTACCCAGTACCAGAAGGACTGGGAGGAGGGAATTCCCCTCCCTTTCATTACCGTGTGGGGAAGCACTCTGGAATCATTAAGTCATGTGCTATGTGAGGATGGTGATGTTTCCCCGGCGGTGTTTTTTTCTTCGGTTTCAGAAAATTCTTGGCTAAGATGAGGTCGATGGCACTAGTGCACCAGTCTGCCAGTCCGCCCAGGATGGCGTGGGACTATGAGGTGGTGCTACACATTCTGGAAGCTGGAGAGATGGGATTGGCATTGGAACCGGGTCCTGGGAAGGCTATGATGGAACTGTGTGGTGACTTCAAAATGATGAGCATAAAGTCCCTGAGAAGATAATGTAAGCAGAAAATTGTAAGAGATTGTGGAAGATTTGGATCTTCTGAAAGACTGGTTGAAGTGTTGGCTCAGCCATGGTGCACCTTAGTGAAAGCGTTTTGGGATGCTGAAAAATGGGGCCATGTTCAACCCCATGAGGTAGAGGTTTCCGACTTTGTGAAATGTCAGCAGGCCTGGCATGATGTAAGCTGGGGTGAAATAGGTTCCTTGAAGGAAGTGAAGTGTTTATTTCTAGAGACTGTGTTTGTATCCAGCGAGAGTCGGTGGACGTTGTTTTTTACTGGTCTCACACTAGGTGATACCTTGAAAACGTGCACTGACTGCCGCCAGGTACAGTTAAAAAATAAGTTTTGTCTCCTCTTTAATGAACTACATGCAAATTGTGTGAATGAACAGTGGGTGCGTCATCTGCTTCCCACGACCATGTGTGCCAAGGACACACCCGTATTTGTAACTTTAATATCTCTGTCCATGTACCTTTTGTATGCCACTAACCCTCAAGATCTTTTATGTGTAATCCTGAGTTACCCACCCCGGGTTTTGCAAAATGATACAGAGGTTGGGTCAGTCTTGTTGCAGGGTAGAGCAGGAGAAGTAATGCCACTCGGCTGCTTCTCAGCAAAAAGTAGCAGGCACCAAAGAAGTTATACCTCCATAGAAAAGGAGGCTTTTGCCTTAGTGTTGGCAGTGCAACATTTTGAGGTGCATATTTCTTCATCAGTTCACCCTATAACTGAGTATAGTGACCATATTCCTTTACGTTTCCTTCACTTAATGAGGCACCACAATCAGACTTACAAGGTGGGCCTTGTTTCTCCAACCTCTTAATCTGGTGATTCATTATGTGAAGGGAGCGGAGAATGTGGTTGCTGATGCCTTGTCTCGTGTTTAAAGTGCACAATGTAGTGTATAGATCACTTATCTATTCTTATTTTGCAGTGATTTGCGGTAGACGAGTAGATGGAACTCTGGACCACCCATAGGAGAAGGGCAGGTTGAGCTGGAGCTGGGAGTATCAGGATTCCCTAGTGTGTGTGTATTTAGGGGGGGTAGTCACATCAAAGGCCATGCCTAGGTAAGGTATGCTACGTTTTTTAGGTGATGGCTGGTATGCCTCGCCTCTGTTTTATGTTGGTATAGGGACTGTTGGACCTAGCGTTTTAGTGAATGTGGGGCTGGCGGTGATGCCCTCCACTGTTTGGGTCATGTCTTTTGATCCGAGGTGTTTTGGTTCTCCAGGACTCTTTTTCAATTTTTCCTTTTTCGATCACCGCTGGGGTGACTCCAGGGTCCTTGGAATGACATGTAGGTTGCGGCCTAGGAGGTCCACCTTTTGGGGGTCTTCAGTGATGACTCCAGGGTTTTACGGCCGCAGTCCCACCAACAAGATTTATGTGCCTATCCACCCGTTGTTTTTGGGGGCCTGATATTTTCCCCTCTCCTGTGCTCTCCTGATTCTCGCAGAGGTGTGTCATGGGGAACCAGTTTTGTTTACTAAAGATTGCTGTGAGATGGGAGTGATAATGTGATGTTGTTTTCTCCGTAGAATTTAACATGTAACATATGTTTTTCTTTTCTTTGAACTCCTGGAAAATGTACTTACTGTTTAAAAGTTTTTTTTTTTTTGGTGGCACCTACAGTTTGGTCTGCCTTGCAACATACTGAACTTTGGTGTTACTTCATAAAATGGCATTCCTCAGGGGCACTTTTGTACAAAGTTTACTTGCTTGTTTATCAGTTTGCTTGATGTAATTTAGGTAAAATGCATCAACGCCAGCGCCTGGCCAGTGCTGTGTTGTAATGGTGCCTTTTCCTAAAACAGCTGTCTAAGAGTGTGACTGTGAGCTCGTTGGGCATGGAACTTGATCACTTTTATGTTCGACGAGTTTCATATGTCTGCAGTCTAGTACCTCAGTTTGTAAATATGGCATATTTGTAGTACCAAAAGACCGTGATTGTATGGTGGTCATTCCCCAGTTATCATTTTCCCAGTTGCCTCAGACCTTAATGTGGGGCTTATTTTCTTTTTTTTTTCTTTTTGCCTAGTGGTGTCTGTAGGGACCCCGCTACCAGAGTGAGACCTATGGTCTGGGGGTGGGGGTGTTATGCAGGGTTCTGCATGACATCGTAATGTACATATAGTGGAGAAGTGTGCCATAATAATATGAATATTATAGTTGTAAAGAATAATTTTATAATTTATAATGTGCATTTGGGGGTACTGTAAAGTACTCTAACTGTAATTATAAAGAAATTCTGTTAATGATTTATTTTCCAAGGATGTTTGGGTACGCGGAGTAAGGTGGTTTGAGAGAGTCACGTGACGTGAGCATGGCGTGTAGAGGCTGGCGTTGGAGATGCTGTGTATTTATTTATTTATTTATTTATTTATTTATTAACAATTTGAGCACACATACAGAGGTACAAAAAAATACAGATAAGAGCAGCATGCCAAAGCCACTTATACTATGCATAGCATTACGGGCTGGCTTAAAATTAACTTAAGATTAACTAAGCAATGATGAAATCAGTGATAAAACATTAATGTAAACAGATTACTATAAAGCACAAATGAGTATTACAAAGACAGGTCATATGGTTGCATGCATTGTTGTACAGTCAGTCGAATGGAGTATTCTGTTAGGTAGTGTATTTAAAAAATAATAAAGTTAGGTTGGGTTTTAAGTTTAACATTTATGTGATATAATTGTGAGAAACATTTAAGATATACAATTTATAAGGTTCAGTTATTCAGTATTTATTTGGTTGTGGGTGAGTAAGTGATCTTTGAGAAGAGACTTGAATTTATAAACAGGTAGTGTTTCTTTTATGTTTACAGGTAATGAATTCCAGATTTTAGGGCCTTTTATGTGCATTGAGTTTTTGCATAGTGTGAGATGGACACGAGGAACATCAAAGAGTGATCTGTGCCTTGTGTTATGGTCATGTGTTCTGTTGAGGTTGGCAAGGAGATGTTTGAGGGGAGAGTTAATATCAGAGTTAAGTGTTCTATGTATGTAATAGGTGCAGTAATAAGTATGGATGTTTTGTATGGTGAGTAGGTTTAGTGTATTGAATATTGGTGGAGTGTGCTGCCTGTAGTGAGAATTTGTTATTATTCTAACTGCAGCCTTTTGTTGGTAATTAGTGGTCTGAGATGGTTAATTGTTGTTGAGCCCCATGCACAAATTCCATATGTGAGATAGGGGTAAATAAGAGAGTGATATAGGGCCAGGAGGGCTGACTGTGGAGCATAGTACCGTATCTTCGATAGTATGCCTACAGTCTTGGAAATTTTCTTAGAAATTTGTTGTATATGTGTATGAAATTTGAGTCTATTATCAAGGTGGATTCCTAAGAATTTTCCCTCTGTTAGCTTTGTGATAGGTGATCCGTTTATCATTATGTTAAGAGGGACATCTGTAGCTCTGTTACCAAACTGAATGAAGTAGGTTTTGTCAATGTTTAGTGTAAGTTTGTTAGTCCTCATCCAGGTAGATATTTTCTGTAATTCGGTATTTACAGTTGTAGTTGTACACTCATTTTGTTTATCCAACTCAAGCCATAGGCTTTCATATGGCTTACCTGTATGTTCACCCAGGCTCTGACATGGTCAGGGTGCTGTGGGATGAGTGATGAAGTAAGAAATGAGGTTTGTAGTGTAATGACGGCCTGACGCTGATGAAGCCTAGTGTTATGGTGGCTGAACCTCCAGCCAGCTGTGTGTACCCTCATTTGGACGTTTAGAATTAAGGTTTTTCTGTTATGTTATGTTATGATGAGATTAAGACACATGTGCAACATCTGGGTATCTTTATTGTAGACGTTTCGCCATCCAGTGGCTTTATCAATACAAATTCTAGGACATAACTTGAAGACAGTAGAACTATGTACAGAAGATGAGGTAATCAGTCCCTCAACCTAGGAGTAGGTGCGAAGAGCACCATAGTCGACTATGGTGCTCTTCGCACCTACTCCTAGGTTGAGGGACTGATTACCTCATCTTCTGTACATAGTTCTACTGTCTTCAAGTTATGTCCTAGAATTTGTATTGATAAAGCCACTGGATGGCGAAACGTCTACAATAAAGATACCCAGATGTTGCACATGTGTCTTAATCTCATCTTGTCGGTATTGTATACCATTCGTACACATGTTATGTTATGGTGATTAAATAGATATATTTTCCTAATTGGGATTTTTGCCTAGCCCTCTGTTAACCAACCCATTGAAGTAACGCATACTGGTTTAGCGCTTTCTGTTTTGACTGGGATAGCCCTTGGTGGACGGTTTGGGCTTGAGATGTGTGTAACTTTTACCTTTTCCCTTAGACAAGGGTCAAACCCCCAGCTATCCCACATTTCTGCATAACAGTTATGATCATAATAAAGTACATACCAAGTATAGATATTGCAGATATGGCTCCCCCGAGGAGTGAGAGAGCCACTGGAAGGAGAGGCATAGTACGACCTCCCAGCAGGTACTCCTGAGTAGTCACCACTCTACGACTCTTGAAGGCACTGTACACGCCGATACCCACCGATACCACCAGCAGAAGAGTGAACACAGTGTAGTCCGCCACAGTGAACTTCGAACTCGGGACCAACACGGTCACGGGAGGCTCCTCGGTCCCATCCATTCCGTACAGAATCCAGGAAGTATTGATTAGTGTACAGAACCAAGTCTGCAGCGCACAGGAGGTGCTCCTTCGTGTACAGAACCCAGGAGGTACTGCTTAGTGTATAAAACCAAGTGTGCAGTACACAGGAGGTACTTGTTAGTGTGCAGGACCCTGGAGGTACTATTTGCTCTGCAGGACCCAGAAGGTATTCTTGCCTGAGAAGTAGCTAGGAGGCTCTACAGTGGCTTTGCTGCGATGTTTAAGTGATCACGGAAACATGATGTTGAAGATTTTGAAGTACTCGTGCCTCGGGGAGAGGAGTTTCAAGCACAGGTTAAGAGAAGAGTCTTGGTGTTATAAAATAATGGTAATGAATGAAGCATTCTGGTAAATAAAGTAATAAAAAAGGCAGCAATAACGTGCTGGAACAATTATCTGTGACTAGTCAATGGTCCAAAGGTCGAACCGAACACAGTCATCAGTTTCAGTCTCTTTTAGTGATATAGCTGCTAACTAGTTCGTGTGTCTCATTCTTACACGTCCTCCTCCATATATCCACCGACTGCAAATCTATGTATTCCACCTCTGCCAAACACTGCTCTCCACATGTCAACCACTACAATGCACACTGCTACACGATCCTTTCACACTGCCCACCCTGCAGTTATCAGGAGGAGGCCACTTTGAGCATCAGTTATCCTCAAGTTCAGTCTCCTGCAGTTGAAAAACAGATGTTATTTTCAACACTCATGTTGTAGATATCGACATTTTTTTCTGAAAGTATTCATATGGTTTGAAGAGCATTTTTTAATAATAAAATAATACAGTTGGATTAATTGTGTGAGTGGGATTTAGTTTACTTGCTGTCGGATACAACATGTAAGTTTTTGAGAGGCTAGTTTATCTAGATCTCCTATTTTATATTATATATATATATTTATATTTTATTTTTATATATTATTTATATATATATAATTTATATTTATTTCATATATATTATATTATATATATATATTATATTCTTATATATTTATATATATATATATATATTATATATATATAATATATATATATATATATATATATTATATATTATAATTTTTATATACGAATTCGTACGCTTTTACTTATTTTTGGTATTCCTAAAGTGTTTTAATATTTTAGGATTCGTTTCATTGCACAGTTTAGTGGGTTAACAACACATAAAGTAAAAATTTGCATGGAGTCCAGTTTTTCTGCTATTAAGTTTCAGTTGATATCAAAGGAAGAATTATAAAGAGTACTAATATTCAGTGCTGGTGATGCAAGTGTTCAGAATACGTCATCTAGTATTCATGGAAGATCTTATGGACATTCGTAAAAAAAAGTTTATTTCATCCTGATGAGCCAATATGTCAGATGGATTTTTTCACTTTAAATTCCTTTTGATCGTGTTTACCTGGATGAAAGTGACACTGTATCATGTCTTACGCTATCATAGAGGCGCAACCAGGGTCTCACCTTGAGGAAGGGATTTATCCAGGTTTTCGACCTTGTGGGAGGGAAAACATAACTTACAAATTATAGATGCCGAAAAAAAAGACCTCGTTTTTAAGTACATTGTTTTCAAGTATGTGAATTTCCTAACCATCATACTCGTCGCTGCCATTGTTCATATTTATACACTGAAAAATTGGCCATTAATAGAAAAATAAAAAGTGTTTGCCGTTGACCATCCTCCCCCCGCGGACTACACCCTGCACTCAAGATGTTTATTTTATAAATAAATTACCTCTCCTCCATTCTACACTGTCATTTGCTTCCATGTGTCATGTGCCTAGTGCTACCAGATTTCTTACCAGATCAAGATAATTCACATACGTTGGGGTACTGGTCCGTATTCAGTTCCACAATTTATAAAAAAAATTTTCTTTTCGTTCACCTTAGCCAGGCCTAAAAGCAGGAGTAAGTCTAGTGATGGAGTCTTCATAGGGTAAGTCGACCACTCTAGTTACCAGGTTGTGGAGTTAACTAATGTTTACCTGGAGAGGAGTTTCGGGGAGTCAACGCCCCGCGGCCCGGTCTTGTGACCAGGCTTCTGGTGGATCAGCGCTCTGATAACCAGGCTGTTGCTGCTGGCTGCAGCAAAACCAACGTTCGAGCCACAGCCCGGCTGATTCAGGAAACTGGACTTTTAGTTGCTTGTCCAGTGCCAGCTTGGAAGACTGCCAGGGGTCTGTGAGTAATCCCCCTTATGTGTGCTGGGTGGCAGTTGAACAGTCTCGGGCCCCTGGACACTTATTGTATGGTCTTCTTACGTGCTAGTGACACACCTGCTTTTCATTTGGGGGGATGGTTGGATGATCGTCTGCCAAGTTCTTTTGCTTTCGTAGTGAGTGATTTTCGTGTGCTAGTTTGGTACTAGAAGGGGTTTCCTCTAGGGATTTTCCAGGTGTATATAATATGTATCTCTCCCTCCGCGTTCCAGGGAATACAGGTTTAGAAACCTCAAAGCGCTCCAGTAATTTGAGGTGTTTTATTCCGTTTTGCGCGCCGTGAAAGTTCTCTGTACATTTTCTAGGTCGGATTTCAACCTGCCTTGAAAGGTGCAGTTAGAGGGCTGCAAATATTCCAGCCTAGATAGGAACAAGTGACCTGAAGAGTGTCATCATGGGCTTGGCCTCCCTAGTTTTGAAGGTTCTCATTATCCATCCTGTCATTTTTCTAGCAGATGCGATTGATACAATGTTATGGTCCTTGAAGGTGAGATCCTCCGACATAATCACTCCTAGGTCTTTGACGTTGGTGTTTCGCTCTATTTTGTGGCCAGAATTTGTTTTGTACTCTGATGAAGATTTAATTTCCTCATGTTTTACCATATCTGAGTAATTGAAATTTCTCATCGTTGAACTTCATATTGTTTTCTGCAGCCCACTGAAAGATTTGGTTGATGTCCGCCTGGAGCCTTTCAGTGTCTGCAATGGAAGACACTGTCATGCAGATTCGGGTGTCATCTGCAAAGGAAGACACGGTGCTGTGGCTGACATCCTTGTCTATGTCGGATATGAGGATGAGGAACAAGATGGGAGCTAGTACTGTGCCTTGTGGGACAGAGCTTTTCACCGTAGCTGCCTCGGACTTTACTCTGTTGACGACTACTCTCTGTGTTCTGTTAGTGAGGAAATTAATAGATCCATCGACCGACTTTTCCTGTTATTCCTTTAGCGCGCATTTTGTGCGCTATTACGCCATGGTCACACTTGTCGAAGGCTTTTGCAAAGTCTGTATATATTACATCTGCATTCTTTTTGTCTTCTAGTGCATTTAGGACCTTGTCGTAGTGATCCAGTAGTTGAGACAGACAGGAGCGACCTGTTCTAAACCCATGTTGCCCTGGGTTGTGTAACTGATGGGTTTCTAGATGGGTGGTGATCTTGCTTCTTAGGACCCTTTCAAAGATTTTTTTTGATATGGGATGTTAGTGCTATTGGTCTGTAGTTCTTTGCTGTTGCTTTACTGCCCCCTTTGTGGAGTGGGGCTATGTCTTTTTGTTTTTTAGTAACTGAGGGACGACCCCCGTGTCCATGCTCCCTCTCCATAGGATGGAAAAGGCTCGTGATAGGGGCTCTTGCAGTTCTTGATGAACACAGAGTTCCATGAGTCTGGCCCTGGGGCAGAGTGCATGGGCATGTCATTTATCGCCTGTTCGAAGTCATTTGGCGTCAGGATAACATCGGGTAGGCTTGTGTTAGTCAAATTTTGTGGCTCTCTCATAAAAATTCATTTTGGTCTTCGACTCTCAGTCTGGTTAGCGGCTTGCTAAAACTGAGTCATATTGGGACTTGAGTAGCTCACTCATTTCCTTGCTGTCATCTGTGTAGGACCCATCTTGTTTAAGTAGGGGCCCAAATACTGGACGTTGTTCTCGATTTTGATTTGGCATAGGAGAAGAAATACTTTGGTTTCTTTCGATTTCATTTATGGCTTTTAGTTCTTCCCGCGATTCCTGACTCCTAAAGGATTCTTTTAGCTTAAGTTCGATGCTTGCTATTTCTCTGACCAGTGTCTCCCTGCGCATTTCAATATATTGACCTCTTTTAGCCGCCTCTGTTATTCTTTTCCGTCGCCTGTAAAGGGAGCGCCTGTCCTTTCTATTTTACATCTACTCCTCCTTTTTCTTAGAGGAATAAGCCTTGTGCATACATCGAGTGCCACCGAGTTAATCTGTTCTAGGCATAAGTTTGGGTCTGTGTTGCTTAGTATATCTTCCCAGCTTATATCGGTTAGGACTTGGTTTACTTGGTCCCACTTTATGTTTTTGTTATTGAAGTTGAATTTGGTGAATGCTCCCTCGTGACTAGTCCTCTTTTGTCGGTCTGGGGCTCCATGCATACATGTCTGAACCTCAATTATGTTGTGATCTGAGTATTTTTTTTTGATATGGTGACATTTCTTATCAGATCATCATTGTTAGTGAAGATGAGGTCTAGTGTATTCTCCAGTCTTGTAGGCTCTATTATTTGCTGGTTTAAATTGAATTTTGTGCAGAGATTTAAAAGCTCGTGTGAGTGTGAGTTTTCATCAGAGCTGCCTCCTGGTGTTATTACTGCAACAATATTATTTGCTATATTCCTCCATTTTAGGTGCCTTAAGTTGAAATCCCCAGGAGCAAGATGTTGGGTGCAGGAGCTGGAAGATTTCCAGACAGTGGTCAATTTTTAACAGCTGTTCCTGGAATTGCTGGGATGTTGCATCCGGAGGCTTGTAGACTACCACAATGACTAGGTTTTGGTTCTCGACCTTTACTGCTAAAACTTCCACTACGTCATTTGAGGCATTAAGCAGTTCTGTGCAAACAAGTGACTCTGCAATGTACAGGCCAACCCCCCCCTTTTGCCTGTTCACTCTGTCACATCTGTATAGGTTGTAACCTGGATCCATACTTCGTTGTCCAAGTGATCCTTTATGTGGGTCTCAGTGAAAGCCGCGAACATTGCCTTTGCCTCTGCAAGCAGTCCACGGATGAATAGGTATTTTGTTGTTTGTAGCTGGCTTTAGACCCTGTATATTTGCAAAGAAGAATGTTATCGGACTGGTGGTATTGTTGGTACTGGGGGGGGATTTTTTTTTCCGGCATTAGTATCTGTATCTGTTGGTTTTGGAGTGGAGGCCATCGACTGTGGTTCCACTCCAGGAATGACTGGTTTGGTGTACGATTTTGCCTTTTCCTGCCAGTTTTTTTTTCCTTCCTCACAAAAAAAAACCTCTCCCTTTTTAGTGGCTGGGGCTCCCCGGGTTTCCCGGGCCCTGGAGTTTTTTTTTTTTTGTCCCCTTTAGATGGTATCCTCTTTTTAAGTTATAGCACAGTCTTTCCTTTAGAAGGGTAAAATTTCGGGGTGGGAAAAGCTTACAAGGGGAGT